ATTCTATTCTATTCTATTCTATTCTATTCTATTCTATTCTATTCTATTCTATTCTATTCTATTCTATTCTATTCTATTCTTCACTCCAATACTCTCCATTCCATTCCTATTCCTACTCCTATTCTTTATTCTATTCTACCAGTATTTTCTTTTCTATTCTATTCTATTCTATTCTATTCTATTCTATTCTATTCTCTATTCTATTCCCTATTCTATTCTATTCTATTCTATTCTATTTTCTATTCTATTCCCTATTCTATTCTATTCTATTCCCTATTCTATTCTATGGGGGAGGGGGGGAAGTGATTCACGACCACTTTTCACACCCTTCAAAGGCATTGGGCGTAACTCGAAGGAGCCGAAGAAGGAAAGGGTTAGACGCAACTCACGTTGTAATGGTGATTGGCCACCGGTTTGTAGTTGGTGGTGACGGCCTTGTCCAGCTGCATGGTCAAGCTGACCGGCTTGGAGGATTCTTCGATCTGCAGCCTGAAGGAAGAAAGGGCAGCATTAGAGGAGAGACCAAGAAAGGCTTCCTGATTGCCAGGGGAAAAGAAAAAAGAAAAACCGCCGGTAAAACAATGCAGATCCAAGAGCAAATTCGTCAAGGGGAAGGTAACTTTTCGGATTAGGCCCCCGAGGCCGATTTTTCCTGAGGAAGAAGGCGCTGTGAAACAAACCTTACACAGTTATGACCGTTAGACGAGAAGATTGATTGCCTACAGATAAACAACTCGGTGGAAGCAGCAGAGAAACGGGCGGCACACACCTGCACCGTAAAAACCTCTTTTTGAGACCGCCGGGAACAAATTTTATTTAAAAAAAATAAAATAAAAAATCTCTCTCTTTGAGATGTCGGGAACAAATTGTCACTTTACAGCATTTAAAAAAGTTTTAAAAGTTAAAAAGATTTCTCTGGTACCATCAACCAGGGGTGGAACTCAAATTGTTTGACCATCGGTTCGGTGGGCGTGGCTTGGTGGTTTGCTCTGCCTAAGGCATGGATTTTTTTCCCCCTCTTCTCAGCTGATCATCGGAAGTTTTTTTTACTACCGGTTTGGCTGAACCGGTCCAAACCAGTAGCATGCCACCCCTGCCACCAACCTGGGGGTGGGAGGATATGAGTCTTCGGGATTGTAAGCTCCCTTAGAATATTTTAGTGCAGCCTTTCCCAAAGGTGTTTTTTTTTCCAAAAGGCAACTGGACTTTCTTGGTTATTTTCCCTTGAAGACGTTTCGCTTCTCATCCAACCGAGAAGCTTCTTCAGAACTGAAGAAGCTCCTGAGACGAGAAGCGGAACGTCTTCAAGATAATAAAAAAAAAAACCAAGGAACTCCAGTTGCCTTTTTGAGAAAACACCTTTGAGACAACTCCGGCCTCGATGACTGAGAACATAAGACACACAGTATTTTCTCTTTATAGTCGACTCTTAAAGGACAGGTGTTGCCGTAGAAATTGTTATCAACTGTGCGACGGTGAGGTACTGTACGATCACATTATTAATAAACATGGCAAAGGAAAGGCTAGTTTGGTGCAGTGGTTTCGGCATCAGTTTTGGGAGAGTAAGGTCATCAAGACATTTAGGAAGATCTTGGAATGAAGTTTTCAGTGCAGACAAAAACCAACCTGAGCTATCAACATTTGGGGGGAGGTCCTCATTTTACACAAACCTGCCCGAGAAACTCTTCATCTTTTGCAAGGAAACAGTCTCCCATTTATTTGACATAATGCTGTCAAACAAGCCCTAGGTGAGCCCCAACGAAGTTAGCCCCGGGGAAAAAACATGTCTCCGTTTCTGTGCAGAAAAACAAACATTAAAAGCATTTAAGATGTACAACCATCTTTTATTTTTGAGGGGACGAGCCCCTGTGTGCCACAGTAGATGGAACAGGAAAGACATCCTCAGAAACTGCCAACTGCCAGGAAAAACAAATCAGGTATTTTCTTTTATGTACACCGAGAGCTTATGCACCAAAGACAAATTCCTTGTGTGTCCAATCCCACTTGGCCAAAGAAGAATTCTATTCTATTCTAAATCACGTTTTTTGTTTTTTTTTCATAATAATACAAATAAGCCATTGCTGTGATCTATCGGTCTAATAATCGGTAAAACCCAAAATCAAAATTTCACTCTTTTCCACCCCAAGCGCAAAGTTCAGAAACGGTTTCCATCATCGGTTATTCTCTCCTAAGGAGATCAGCTCTTCTCAGCCTTGATAAAATATGGAATATTTCTTCCCCGGGGGAAAAAAATAGAAGCAGGGTTTAGAATTGTGATGGCGAACTTTTGGCACGCGTGCCACAGAGAGCCATTTGTGTGGGGACGTGAGTCCCAGGCAAACTTAACTCACTGCGCATGTGCGCGTCTCCCAGTTGATTTTGGGGCCTTTTTGGGCCTGCCAGAGGCTTGAGGGAAGCCTCTGCAGGCTTTGCAAGCCGAAAAATAGGCCCGGGATGAAAATCAGCAGGGAGGCGCAGTGTAGGAAAGGGTGGGGGGAATCGCGCAGGCATGCTCAGGGGACGTGGGGGTGCGCGCGTATTGTCTTCTGGGTGTTGACCTGTGATCGCGCGCGCACAAGCATGCGCGCAATTTTGGGCAAAGGAGCCCAGAAAGGTTAGCCACCACTGGTTTAGGATTTCAGAAAGCCCAATGCTTCAAAAACCATGATGTCCTTCATACCTCCCAAGCTAGCATCTCATGCACAGTCCAGATTGAGCAGTGACTCATTAAACAGCTCCTTATTTTCCTGACTTGTATTATCAGGATAACAGACATTTGCTAGCAGGGATGAGTTCTCGGCGTGATGCATCCAAGCTGGAATGGCAGGCTTGTATTTGGGCAGGGAGGGAGGGAAATGTGTTGGCAGGGAAGGGGGGGGGGAAAGAACTCAATTAAGTCCCCCCTGCTGAAAAACTTCGAAGAACACCTAATTTTGTACTGGGAATTGGCAACAGCGTTTCTCCAAAAAGGAAAAAAGGAAAAAAAGAAGAAAAATAAGATTACATATTGATATTAGCGGATGTAAAAATAGAGGCGTGGGGATAAAAATGTTGCATCAGATCACAGGAAGATGACAGCTTTTAATTAAGGGGCTATAAATCTCACAGCGTTTAGCCATTCCAAGCTGTAGTAAGGCTACT